TCCTGATCTCCTTTCTGATCAACTACTAATTCCACAAATAGTCGGGGACCCCCTATTATGAGTCAGGCACTGGAGATATAATAAATGAAATAAGACACGGCCCCTGCTCTAATGGGAAAAAGGAGACAGGCACCCAGTATGAAAAGGGCTGTATGACACTGTGTATCATTAGTAAGTACACCCAATAAAAAAACATTAAAACGTTTTGAGTTAAAAATTAAAGACATTTACATAGCTAGCACAACTTTAAGATAAGTGTATGAACTAAATAGCTGAATTTCCCTATTTCTTTGTTTTGGAACTGTATGGAACCCTGAAAATAAGAGTATACATGTGGTTACTGGCTTTGATTTTGAATAAAATTCTTTCCATTCCAAATATGTCAAAGTGTTTTGTAAACATTACCTGTGAAACACATCATACTCTTTCCTCACAAAGTATCCCTCTAACCAAAATTCTGTGTACTTAAGAATACCAGGTATAAAACACTATAAAAGCTTTTCCTTGCTCTCCATTACCTAGTTCTAAAACTGGGGAATTTCATTACCAGTGTTCTTGGCTAGTTTACATGGATAACAGGGCTTTCGTATCTTTTTATATTCTGTTTCTCTTCTAACTGTAGCACTCCCTTTTCCCTTAATATTCTAAGTGAAAAGAAAAAGAAAATAATCTATTACATGTAGCTACAAATTTTATCTGAATAAAAGGCCAAGCAGTTCGCTATGATTTAACCTCATTAAGAGACAATTTTCAGAACCAAATTAATATAGTCAGCAAATGTATTCTGTGTTATCCTTCAGAAAAAAAAAAGGAGGCATTGATAGAGAATGTAGCACTGCACATGTGAGGGGGTACAGGTAGATACCAGCCACAGTTTACTTTGCTTTGGTGTCTAACGAGATACTACTGTCCCAATTTCTCTTCCCAGGGTATTGGTCTCACCTCCACCAGAGTGAAATGAACTAGAAAAGGAGTGAAATGATTCATCTCTAAATAAATACCAATGACCTTAAAATTTTTGTGAGGATTAAATGAGATCGTTTATGTTAAGTCTAACAAAATTATAATCACATAATATACATGAAATTAATAAAGCTATTATTTCTATTACTTATAACTTTTTAAAAAATTACTTCTAATCAGGCTCACCAAATTATAGTTAAACAAAGTCAACCTTAATTAAGTAGTAAGTCCTTATCTTAACCCCTTGAAACAGTAAATCAAGTAGCTATCTTTCTTAACTCTACCCAAGACCAAATTATTAAAAACATAAGGTATCACTTGATGTCACTTGCTACTGTAAATCTTACTACTCCTAAGAATAACTCTACCTATTATTTAATAACACAAATAAGCTCTTATTAATTTAATGTACACTCAAATAGAACTATTCATTTTAACATAATGAGTATTATATATTGTTTCTTTAAAAATTCTGATTTCTCAAATAGGAAAACCTTTCCAGTATAATTTGTTCAATTACCAAATCTGTCCTTCAAGAATACCATAAAAAGCACCAATTTTAATCCCATCCCGTCCAACTGTGACAAATATTAATTCCTGGAGTAAAAACAGACTGAAGACTTTTTTAAGATCTAGAACTTACACGTCCAATACTTCCAATCACTTTTTTTTACTTTTGTAAAAAGGAAAGTTTCACAAGGGCTAAGTTGTAGAATAGTGAAGACAAAGAGAAATGCCACTATATGATATTATTCAAAATGTGTGACTGTTGTCTACGCTGGAAGAACATTATTACATTGAGTGTGGTCTTAAGTAGACATTAAGTAAATAAAACTTCTACCTTCCCAGCCTAGTACGAATTAAGCTGTCCTAAAATCTTACCTGTCTGTTAGTCCAAACGCCAGATCAAGCATGTCATTCTCCTCATCAGTGATTGCTTCTAACTTCTCAAATACATGATCTTCAAAGATAAGATGACAAGTAGAGCAAGCCAAAGTTCCCTCACATGCACCTACAAAAGCAGCAAACATTGAACATACCCCCCTCTACACTGAACACAATTCAACCTACTTCATTAAAATTAAGCATTTCTAAACTTTAGGATCACCATTAGAATACATAAATGAAAGGACTTTATTTCTGAATAATAATGAAAATTAGTTTGAAAACATTTCAAAAACATGCAGGGCTACATGCTGTGAAGGGAAACATGAAAATATACAGTCCTAATATCAAAGAGCTTACAAGTTAATAAGCTGAAATATGCATACATACAAAATGTGTGCATTTGTAAATTTATAATAATTCATCTAATAGCTGTGCAAGTTATTTACCTTTTCCTAGAGAGTGCAACACAATTTATGAAGCTTTGTGGTGCACAGAGGAATCAGAAAGCAAAGAAACCTACACCTAAATAAAGCTAAATAAAGCTAAATATTCTTCTCTCTCACCTTCCTCTTGTAATCAGGACAGAATTGAATAAGTCATTTTCGGAGTCACATGGTTTAAATAATAAGAATATTGCTCCTGTTCCATCTTTGAAGTTATTAATTTAACAGTTATTGAGTGTCTATTATGTGCCAGACACTGTGAAAAGGGAGTCATCTCATCCAACCAAACCAGGACAAAATGTGCTGTTCAACCTCCCTTTCCCTCCGCTCTTGCTTAAAAATCTCCAAAGAAACCTACACAATCTTGCATCTGGCTGGTTTCCAGTGAGCTAAAGTTTGCCACTCTGTAACTTCCACCTACTGGTCCAACTGTATCCCATGTATTCAAATCCTTCTTCAAAACAATAGCCTGTCATGGATTTGAGACTGTTCGTCCCTCTCCAGGCTGAGCATCCCCATGTCCTTCAAATTTTTCTTACATAACACAGTTCCAACTCCCTTTCCTCGGTCTCGTTGGGCTTTTCTTAAAGTATGGCACCCAGAACAAATTGGCTTTCCAGAGGAGGGTCTGGCAACACAGAATCCTGCAGAATCACATTCTGGTTAAATTCGACTTTAAAAACAGTTATTTTGGTTTGGTTTTTAATGATAAATTTTCAAAAGCCACTGCAGAACTTTAAAGATTGTAGGGTCCTAGGAGTAACTCCAGTTTGACTTAGATTCTCTTCTGGTCAATAAACTTGATATAAAATATGTAATGGAATGACTTAATAATTGGTAACCTTAATTTTCCTCTAAGTGGATCATTTTAACAAGGGTTGTTCTCTCTTAATTTAAACATTTGTTATTCATATTCTACTATCTTTAAAAAATTAAGAAAGAAAGAAGAGTCTTCCTTAAATTTTCATTTTATTAAATCAAGTAAAAAGCAGTAATGGGATTATGGAAGAGACCATACAGTGAAGCCACCAGAGTTAGAAGCATGGTCTCTAGAGCCAGACCGCTTGGCTTCAACCACAGCTCCACTTTTTACTATGTCACACTGGCCTACCTTTCCCTCCATGCCTCAGTTTTCTCAATAGTAACTATACCAACACAGTAGTTGCAAGAATTACATATGTGTACTTGATATATGTAAATATATGTACTTACAACCATGACCAGTAGATAGTAAGCACCAAATAAGTGTTAGAATTATCAATATAATTATTTGGAAGTTATAAGAAATCTTAGAGTAATTCAACTTTCTTTTTAAACATAAGATGAATTAAACCCAAGAAATTAAAGAAATGGACTAAGGTCACCCTACTAGTTAGAGATGAGTCACAACTTCAGCTAAGTTTTCCAATGCTGAAGACAACTAGTCTCTGCCACAGAATAATCTAAGTCACCTTACTTAAATATTAAATGAATACATATAAGTATATATACCGTACACATACATACACATCAATTTGTTATTAGGACAAGTAGCGTATTTTTCTATTTTTTGTATACATTTGAAAGATTTCACACAAAAAGGTAAATGGGTATATTTCACTTAAAGCGGAGAGGGAGCGTCCCCTGTTTTAAAAAAAACAATCAAGTTTGAAAACCACTGCAGTAAAAGGAGAATGAGTGTGGTGCAACCCTGGAGTCAGGAGTCTGGGCTCTAGATGGACCAACCACACCCCTGTTTACTGTGTCCTGCCAAGGCACTGAGGCAAATGATCACCAAGGTCCTGCTGGCTCTAATATTTCATGACTCCACAACACAAATTGTAATTCCTAGTGCATTTGTTCACTAGTATTCAATAAGTATCTACTCATTTTAATTTCTATTTTCATCTCATCAATACCCAATCCAGACAAACTCCAAACTAAAACAGCAAATTCCTCTGGAGATGCGGTGGAACAAAAATCATAAAATCCAGTTTCCTTTTGTCCTTAAAACGTAAGTAAAACAATCCTTTTAACATATTCCTAGCAATTTTCTAGTTTAAAAAAACATCTCACAGATGATAATCTGACTTAGGGACACGTTACAGCTACACTCGTATCAGTGCCCAGTGCAAGCATTTTACCCATCACGCTTGCTTGCTAACACAACAGTTTTCATGAACTTAGAAGTACATACAACTCTAGTGATGCTTTTATTTTGCTGGCATTCTCACTAACAATTCAGACTTCTCTCTCCTAAATTAACAGTAATACGTATCATCACAGGTTTTTGGCTTTCTTCATAGCATTTTGTCACATCTAACTTCTGTTCTGAATAATTCATTTTTAGATGCATTTTTAGCATTAGCACTCAAGGCATGGATAAAACTGATATGGGCTTTAAAGACAATTTTAAATTATAAGCGCAGTTTAAAATACTAACACCATAGTCAAGAAAATCAGACAGAATGGTTCCCATGATACTGACAAGGGGTGGCAGGTATCTGTTTACCAGCTAAAGTGATACCACTTTACCTGAGGTAACAAATGTAAAGTTTATAATTCACACAGCCTACCAGCTTGAAATTATGGGATTCCTGACAACAATTTTGGTTTTTCACAATACTTCTGATTTTGCTAGAGTAAGAATCTTAACATTGTTAATCTGCACATTAGCATAATTTAAAAATTACGCTAAGAATAGTAAGACAAAGTTACTAACTTCAAGGTTGCTAATTAATAAAACTTCTTTCTCCTGGACTGAGTCTTGGTTTTAGGTGTTTGTTTTTTTTTTAAACAAGAATAATGATACTAAGCGTTTGAGCAAATCCTGAGAAATTCTTGTGAAATTAACTCTCAAAGAAAGTTAGATACCTGCAGACTATTACTCCGTTTGTTTCATGTAATTTGAATGCTTGCCAACAGGAAAAAATAGTTTTGTTTATGTACATCTTATATTAAGATCATTTGGTATTATCTATTATGATGCTGACAAGACAGATTTCCCACCTCCTCACCTAACCCCTTTCCCCAAAGTCTAGAGGATAGCTGCATAGGAATATTATGTATTAAAAGGCTGGCCAGTTAGTTCAGTTGGTTAGAGTGTAGTACTGATAACACCAAGGTCTGATCCTTGTTGCCAGCCACTAAAAAAAAAAAAAAAAAAAAAAAAAAAAAAAAAAAAGAAAAAGAAATTATGTAGAAACATACAATAGAAGCTGGTTAGCACAGCTGGTTAGAGCTCAGCCTTGTAACATCAAGGTCAAGATTCCAATCCCCGTAGCTGCCAGACGCCGGAAAAAATACGAGGGACATAGGAAATGTTTGCAATTTGAGGTGGTGGGCATGCTGATAGCACTGATTTACTTGCCACAACTTGGGCACAGGTGTTAACAGTCAGCTCTTGCTCCATGAATATGTATAATCAATAAAAAATTTTTTAATTTTAAAAATTTTTTAAATAAATTTAACATTAAAAAAGAATAGGGTCAATTTTTATAATTGGGAAAAATAAAACCAGCTTTACATAAAATAGGAGAAAAAAGATATAATATGACTATAAAATAAATAAATACATAAAAAATAGCTTTGTTAAAAGAAATACACCAATAAGGAGTCAATGACAGGAACAAATATAGATTTATATAAAACTATATAGAGATTTATCAGAAACACCTATTTTAATACGTTCCCTCAAAACAGACATAGGCAGGAAATGGGTAATACAGAAGGAAAAAAACAAAGTCTGAGCTAATAAACTAGTTAAATTTAATCACAGATGTATAACTGCCCCCTAGTGACAAAACATAATATGCTCTAAAAACTTTTTAAAATACCTCTACATTCCAAAAGATCTATATTAAGAAAGAAATATACAACAATCACAATAATACGCTGAACTTTCAAAAAAAGAGAACAGAACTGAGGTTACCAGCAGTGGGAAAGAGGTAAGGGAGGAATTGGTGAAAAGCCATGAAAAACTATTACAGTATATATTGTTGAATATACTAATCCTGATTTGAGCATCAAATACTGCACACAGATATTGATTTTCAACTCTGTACCCTACCCACAGATATGTACAATCAACTATGTTACAATAAAAAAATTTATTTAAAAAGTGAACAAAAATCACACAGTGAGAAATACAGAATTTTAAACAAAAAAAGTCTCACAAAACTGTCTTATAATGTGTCTTCCAATTTATGTTCAGAAATAACATCTCATTATGTTCCTTCTTTACTACTCTTATAGGAAATTCCTCATACTTATAAAACATTCTTTATTGAGGTTGTCTTCTCAAAGTCTTGATTATATGTACTACTTCATTTGTTTTAAAATAAATCCATGTAAAGAAAAGAAAAAAAATAAAAGTTGGCGATAAGGATGTTTATAAATTCGCTTTGCTCCCAAAATTCACAGTTGTCTCTTTTTACTCACTTATTCACTCATTACTTCACATCGTTTACAATGAGGAATAAAATGAGAATAATTTTATCCTTCATTACAGTGTATTTCGAGGGATACGCAATGAAATGAAGAAATATATAATTACTGTGCTGAACGCTATGAAAGAAACAGAACACTGTGATGGAGGATAACGGACGCAGGATACCAGGAGAAACCCCACCCTGCATTCTGCGGCTGGGCAAAGCCTTGCTAAGGAAGAATCATATAAACTGAGCCTTGATGGGTGAAAAGC